CAACGAACATTCCCAAATATGTTGTCCCCGCGGCCCTCAACGCGGACCTCCCGGCAAGCTCGTTACCAAGCTTCCTCCAAGCTTTGACGAGTGGTAACCAGCAGGCCCTGATGAGCGTCCCGGGAGTCACGCTCGACATCATCACCAAAGCATCGGCCGCGGCCCAGACGGCATACTACAAATCCTTCCAAACCGTCTACTTTGCCAGTATCGCTTTCGGGGGAGCGGCCGTCATAAGCGCGTTGATCATGCGTGGCTGGGTGTTGGATTCCACCTTGACCCTCGAGGTCGCGCGCAAGCTGCAGAAGATTGAGGTTCATGGCGGAGACAAGCCGGCAAAGGACATCGCGGACATCGAGGAGTCGGGAGCTGGGCCAGATCATGTTCATGTCTAACGGCTGGGTAAAATGCGGCAATTGCTAGAGAGAGATATGGAGAGAGAGAGAGAGAGAGACATATAGGAGACATATGCACCGAACTGTGCGGTATCTGTTAACCATCTCGAGGCCACAGAACTAGCGGCGCTTGACAGGCGTATTAAGGCGATCACATAGTACGATCTCAGAGGCCGAGTGTTGTAATGGGCGCAGTTCTCGATAGTGGGACTCACGAGAGGTCTTGTACTTGCCCCTACCTACTGTTTGTGTGTAAACGATCAGACAAGGCCTGAACTAGGGCCTTGATGGATGAGACTGATTTAGATATATAAGATATATATTAACCTATTACCTGACACCCACTAGGCTAGGCCAGCGGCTACCCACACCACACCCCTACAACATCATTTACACTCTCACCTCACCTCTAGGTCGCGCGAAGACCAACTCCTTCCATGTGAGTTACACAACATGATGTGCATGTCTTGTGTCAGACGCGATGGTTCGGGAACCTGCACTTCTACCGCCTCGCAATCAGAATATCAGCAGGGATACTACGGTGAACGATGTTACAACAGGGATATGACCACACGAAGAGATTTCCGCCAGTGGCTCGCAGAGGTATAGTGCCTGGAGAGAGGTCTCCTGGACCAGGCAATTGAAGGTACGGAAGCGAGGGCAATTCACATGTCTCAAGGGGTAGTGACATTTGCATATCATCCTCAACAAGGCTTCGCTGACGGAGCTGAATTTTTGTCTGGTCGGAAGGGTAGAATCATGTTGGATCGGTGGCATCAACCACGAGTCGATGTCCAAGTCGTCCAGACCACCACCTCATGGTACCATTTTGTGCAAGTAAATTCCAGCCATCATCGTCTCCACTCCCACTCTCCACCACTTTCCACTCAACGTGATGAATAATGCCGACCTGCACATTCCGGTATCGAACTGTCTCCGGTGAGATCTCTTTCTCAGAGATCGACCTGCCCCAGAGAATCTGACCAAGTGAATCCTGACCATCATCAAGGTAGAAAAGGAGCACACCAGTACAAGAATATGGATCCTCGTGGTCCTCATAGGAAAATTTCAACCCGCGAAGGTCATGTAATGGAGCAGCCGAGAGGTACCACCCCCAGGAAGATGTAGGGGCATCACGGAAGGCTGGGAGAGCAGGGAGAGGAGGAATTTGTGCGAGACCATGAGGTGCTGACACGGACACAGCCCCAAGCTCAGTGATATAATCCCACTTTGACTCCAGTGCGTTATAGTAGATGCCTTGTATAATGCCATCGTCGTTGTTAACGGAATGATAATTGAAAGAGTCTTGATTGATCCGTGAGTAATAGCCAAACGTGCGAACTCGTGACCGAGTTGTCTGAATCTAGGTCAAGGTAAGCGAAAAGCCTTCTTATCACGGGTTACCAACGTACGATAAGAGCGCACTCCCCATTAGATATGAGTCTCGGACGGCGAATCCAGAGACCTCGGATGTTTTTCCCTGTATTCAGTGGAAAATAGTGTCGCATAATACCTTTCTCTCGGGCATGAGTATCGCAGGCACTGCAGATCGTACAAGGGTTCACCAGGCGATGTACACAAATATCGAGGATCTTGCTGGTTTTGCAATGCACGACAAGCGCGCAGTGTTCAGTAGGTAATGAAACATATTTGAAATGAGAGTGCAACAAATTCTCACAAGGTGTGGAAAAGAAGTTTGACGCTTTGATCGCTGGCGGATTTGGAGTGTCCCACATGAATCGATCGTAGACACTACGGGGTAATTTAGGGTATATATCTCGAAGAATAAGACCCTGATGCTGTGTTAGATGGCTTATAGGTGAGGGCCTAACAACTCACATCCGTGACACCCTCAAAGGCTGCTTCTGAAGGACAGGTTACGTTGAAAACACGATACCACGAGCTGCCATCAGAAGCAATAGTCGATATCGCTGGTCGAAAGTCCGGATATCTCTGACACCAATCTCGTCAAGTGATATTGCTACGCGGCAACTGCCAGTGCGAAGCCGACCCCTCAGCTTTCCGAGACCATCCTGATGATTGCGCCGATTACTGATGGTCGAGATATAGGAGCGCCCGCAAAGAGAGAGTGTTGATCCAAAGAAAATGCCCGAGCAGTCTATCGGGATGTTGTTTTCGGGTAGCCCTTTACGTGTTCTCTCGATCAGAGTCACGCTTTCCTTTATGGCTAAGAGGCGCATGGGCCCTAGTTTGTCCATAATTTCGAACACAACATCATCAGGAAGTCTTTTGATCAGACTTTCTCGAAATTTGTTCCTGAGGAGCAGCAAGGTGCATTCCGCTAATAGGTGCTGGTCTAAAGGATATTTGATGTTGTGTGATTTCGCCCACCATTCTCTCCGTATTGGCCTTGTAAGCATCCCAAAGGACACCAGGTCATCGGAAGTCGGAATATCGCCATGTGGGCAGATCAATGCAGATATATTCCGACAGGATGAATGACACCAGATTCTAGCCTTGGGTGATTGTGCACAAGGTAGACAAATTGATGGGCAGTCGACCACTTCGGTTTTGCGGGAGCCACGGTCAACTGCGAGCGACGATCATCAGTAAGAGACCCAATCAAGACGTGCTTCGAAGCTACTTACGTAGCTGTGCTTCCTGGCGCGAGGCTATTGCTTGGTGACACAAAACGCAAATGGCATTTGTCCAGTGAACAATGTCAACCAAATCGGACGCCATTTATTCAAGTCATAACCGCTCGAAGGAATCCGAGGATGCCATCGTCGTACGCACAGGCTACCAGGCGTTTGACAATATGGGATGAAGAGTGAGGAGGCCAATGAATCTGACAACCCCAGATCTGAAATAGGAGGGAATAGAGCGACAACAACCTCAGTTACCAAGACGGAGTAGAGTGGAGAAGGTAAAGTCTTGGCACATTTAAGTCACGTGAACATCTCACTGACCTCTTGACCGATTTGTCTTGCGTTCCCTCCAACAGTGCCTAACATCGTTTGCTTGTTTCCAGACCTGAAATGATAATGCTTTGATCTCTGTGAACGAGGACGGTCTGTCCTGTAGGTTCATCCCCTCTCTGAGCTTTCCCAAGATCTGTCAACATGGTAAGCCACCACACTGGTCCTTGCAAATTTCGACTGCTAACCTTTTGTCAAAGGCTGCTGCTACAGCCCACGCCTTCGAGCGACAAGTCGCCGATATTCAAATATCGAAATCGTACGTCCCCTCCAATCGATCGTTCCTCTGCCCTATAGGATGTATTTTGACAAAATGGGAATCTCTCTGAAACTTCTTGAAGAGACTGTAAATATTTTGCTTTCTGAAAAAAAAATTACCGAGATTTGATACAGACACACGCATACACTGAAGTGATATTGGCTGACCATGGTCACCCTGCAGTGATGTCAACAATCTGGTCATGGACTACCTGATCACCGAAGGCTATCCATCAGCAGCGGAAAAGTTTGCCGCCGAAGCCAACATCCAGCCTAGGACTGATTTCAGCTATATTCAAGAGAGGGTTCAGATTCGTGAATCAATACACCGTGGAGATTTACAGGCAGCTATCGAGCTTATAAACGACCTCAATCCAGAGGTGAGTCTCGTCCCGTCTTCCTGCTTGCACCCTTCATGATTAGATTTGTTTTCATGCACCACTCATAGCCTTCGGGCAGAGATGAGAGCCAAAACACCTTCAGTCCTCAGTATGATTTATTGGGCACAAACTTCCTTCTTCCACACAACGTTGCGTCTATCTCCATTCTAACCTGGTAAAAATAGCTCTTGGATACCGACAAAAAGCTTCACTTCTCTCTTCTCCGGCTCCAACTCGTGGAGCTGATCCGCCAAAGTTTCACTTCCTCAGATCCTAGCTTGGTGGGCAAAGCCATAGAATTTGCTCAAAACAACCTTGCACCCTACGCCCCGTTAGATGCACAATATAAAACAGACCTCGAAAGGGCCATGGCACTTCTGATCGTCCCCAAAGAATCATGGACTCTAGCCGCTGTATCGGGATCATCTGGCGCAGTGACCTCACAAATTCAAAACGATTTCGGTGCTCTGGCAGAGTTAGTTGACCCTTCATTAAGACGCAAAGTTGCAAAGGACGTCAACGAAGCAATCCTGCAGTCGCAAGATCAAAGAAGAGAGGCCAATATCAGATATCTCGTGCGAGCTCGCGCATGGGCGGAAAAACTCGCTCGCGAAAAGAAGAAAATCGACATACCTGAAAACCTTACTCTGGGACTGGATGACGAAGGGGCTTCCGGCCGTAGTCAAAACGGCCACAATGGTGACACAGAGATGACAGAAAACGGGTCCGAAGACAACGCCGTAAGTGGCGATGCTGATTTGGCCCGATATACGAACATCCCGTCATGAACATTGTCTCAGCAGTACGGCAAGGTCTACCAGACGTGGCCAAGGCATTTCAGGAAAAGATTTATCTCGGCTCCAGCTTGAGAATTTATGACATCAAGAACCTCATACAACGCAAACCAACAGGGCCGTGCCATCGACCCAGCAAGATCCAAAGCGCCAATGCCTCAATTGATCTCGTATGTTTCCCATCCCGCAGTGTTCCCCCAGCGCCACGCTAATATACAGTCACAAAGGCCGGCTCTACCAGTTCCATGTCCGACTGCTAGCGGTAAAGACAGGCGGTTTCCAGTTGAGTCTGCTAGGATCAATCCTTCTGATCCCTTTGGCTTTCTCTTTCTCCCGCCGCTTTTCCTGCCACTCGAGTAGTTCATCCCTCACAACGATGATCCATGCACCCTTGTGATAACGCAGGAGCTTCAGCACCTCGAGTTGTTCGTGGACGTCCTTCTCAGTCATGGCTGTTTGACTCGCTATCTCAGCGATGCTTGTCGAGTACTGCGACGAAGGCCCGGTGAAGCCTAGAGACGAGTGCGGATGCAGCTGTTCCGAAGTTGGTGTGTGAGAGGCTGATCCCGGGGGAGGCAGCCGCACAGGATCAGAAAGAAGCTCAATCAGCACTTCTTTCCAGTACTGTCTGTAACCCAACAAGCCAAGGTCCGAAAGGGGTTTTTCAGGCGACCCCAGCTTTCCTTCACGTTTGCTCAACTCATATGAGAAAGCAATAAGCAACCTTCCCAAGCCTTGTCGCTGATACTGCGGCAGGGTAAGAATACAAGCGACGTTATACCCTTCCGCCGACTCCTTCTCTTTGCTGAAATATCCGACAAGATGGCAACCGTATTCGTCCCGGGTGACCATACAGTAGAACAAGAAAGGGTCGACGTCGTAGTATAACGTCTTATGATCCAGGAACAGTTTTGACAGCAGACAGAGGTTTCTACACCATGTGCGCTGCCGTCGACCGTCGACCTCGAAGAAACTCACAAAGTCATCGCGATAGATTTCGTTACCCGGCGGATGGCGCAATTCGCATTTTGTGCGGTGCCTCTCGAATGATTTCTTGGAGGAAAAGTAGGATAGGCAGAACTCATCAATATACACCATGTCCACGTCGCTGAACTCCTGGGGATAGGGAGAGAAGTACCACGGTTCGATGATGTGCTTGCCCATTTGAATCTTGTTCAAGTTGCGCACGAGATGCAGTTGGGCGTGATTTTGAACCATGGAGCCACCGGTGCGAAGCTTCTCGATCTCCTCCTCCGGTTCCATGATTGGCGCAACCTTCTCCTCTGTCTTTGTGACATCGGGCATTTCCACGTCGACTCCGCCCGCTGTGCCGTCTTCATTCCCGAGCGTTGGTAGAGGCGTGCCTTCTTTGGTGATTACTAGTGAGGCATCCCCATCAGGCGCAAGTCCTTCGTCGCGGTTTTCTTTGCCGCCTGCTTTCGAGGGTATGGGTCGTTTTCGGTCATTGCCTGCCTTGGAGCTCAGGAGATCAGGTGTTGCAGAACTGGCGCGCGAATCTGTCCTTGGACGGCCGGCCTTCGTGGTGATGGACTTTGACGTGGCGGCTTTTGACGGTGGGCCTTTCGTGGTGACGGTCGTCTTCTTTTTCTCAGGCTTTTCGGGGACGGGCCATTCGACCTCCTGAGAGAGGTCGATGCGCTCGGCTGTGACCCATTCTGTGATGTGTCAGAGAGTTCCTTTAGAGAGTGCAACCTCTGCAATGCCTACCATCGAGACGCTTGTTGAACTCGACATAATGTACGCTGTCAGGAGGTTAGTTCTGAGCCTTAGTGCCTTGTTTCAGACCAGACGCAGACATACTAGAAAGTCAGAGCACCATTTCTCTGCTTGATAGACAAGATCTCCGCTTTTCTAGGCTCTCCATTCTGCCAGCCGACAAGTCAGTAACATGTTCGCGCCGCGTCAAGAAAATCTCAAAGTCACGTGCGTCATAAATCGTGAAGTTGAAGAAACTGACCTTTTCAACAAACGCCTTGACGCCAATCCTGTAAAAGAATGGGTTTCAGTATGACTTCTGCATCCAGAGACAGACAGATTCATCAGATCTGTCAAAAATTTTCGGACTTACTGCAACTGGGTGAGCGTGGCAAAGCCCTTCTCGACGGGTTCAGGTGTGCTGTTGGAATCCTGACTGCCGTCTCCGCCGGCCATGGTGATGGTACGGATGATGCGACAAAATTTATCGAAGGAATCGCGGTTTGACGATGGTTTGGTGGAGAGATGATGAGAGAAAGACGGTTGTTCGTGGGCGGGTTGTTATGTAGGCTGGCAGGTGAAGATGGGGGGGACAAGTTTTGGAGGGGAGACTTGGCTTGAATAGGCGCAAAGGTCTTTGGGTTTGCGGCCTGCTCGGCCTGTGGAGGCGTAACCGCCCGCCTGGAGGGGGCGTGTGCAGGCAGTACTCGAGGGTGCAGACAGGCGCCCCCGAGAGACACATCAACACCCACCTAAGAACCGTACACAGGCATGTCAGGCAATTACTCCAGGTAGCTACAGTACATATCTAGGTACGCCTGGTTACTCTAGGTGTGCTGGCTTACTGACTGCCTGCCTGCCAAACGTAGAGATAACCAGGTGTCAAGGGCCCGTGCTTGAATAGTTGATGGCCACGTGGTCTATCAATCATCAAGGCATTTGATATCATTCATCTAATGTCATCCAGTCATCCTTAAACCGCCGTCTTAATCTTCATCCATGGATTCCCAGCCATCTTGCACCCCTTCTCCAGCCTCCTCCTCTCCCTCTTCATCGTCGCTCTCGTCGTCACTCAGATTCGCGCCAACCAATCTCTCTTTGCCGTCTGTCTCTGGCAATTGGACTCTACCAGCAAAAACCTTTCTCACGCTCGGATTGGTGCTGATGTCCCATACTTGCAGCCGCCCCTTGCTTCCCGCCACTGACAGCCTGAAGGCAACCTCAGGATCTGGGGCAAACTGCGCCGAGAATATCCGCCCAACATCAAGATTCCTCGAAATAACCATTGCGGGTTTGTTGTTCTCGACGTTCCATATCTTGACCATCTTGTCCTCTGATCCTGTCACCAGAAGGCCAGGTACCGAAGGGCTAATGTCGAATGCACTGACAGGCCCGTCGTGGGCCTGTAATGTCCATACAGGTTTGCTCGGCTTGTCGTGAGATGTGGGAATGGTACGGGCATCAAAGTAGTGGACGGTACCGGCTTCGGTCGTGACGAAGAAGAAATTAGGATCATGAATGTCCCATTTCACTTTCTCGACGTCTGCCTCGACAACCCATTTCGGAGCCGCGGCATCGGGAGCTCTCATATCCGTGGCAACGACGGTCCGATCGTAGCTCCCACTCAAGAGGATAGTTGACTCGGTTGGATGCCAGTCCAAGGCGCACACCTTGCCGCTGTGCATTGTGTATGATTTGGCACACTTGCCAGTTTTCAAGTCCCATAGTTTCACAGTCTTGTCTGCTGATGCCGAAGCAAGCAGATTTCGATGCTGCCGATTTGCAGCCAAGGCCAACACCGCATCGACATGGTAGTCATCATTGGCCTTTGCCTTCTTTTTCTTCTTTTTCGATTTCTTCTTGCTTTTTGAGCTTTCTCCGTTGGGCTCTGGATCCTCCGGGTGCTCTTGTGGCTCTTGACCTAGTATGGCATTAGGATACATACTATCGACAACATCGAGATCCCAAATCTCTATCTCTGGGTTCATGGTCCCAATTGCCACAAAGTTCCCGTCTGACCTCGTTTCCGCGTCTTTACCCACAGGGACGTTGACCCATTCAACACACAGAGGCACAGCAGGCAGCATGATGTCGTGGTGGACGTATAGATTGTCGGCTTCATCTTCATACACGAAGACTTCTAGTTGCGCAACCTCGTCTTCTACCTTAGCCGCCAGTATTAAGTTGTCCGTAGGCAATATCTGCAACTCTTCTCTTTCATCTTCCGACTCTTCTTCTCCCACTGGCAACACAATGTATGGATCCTCCTCATGTGGCGCATGGTAAGCTAATGAGCCGACGTTGCCAAACATGGAGAATTTCTGGCCTTGTTCGTCGACAGGATCGTTGTCATAATCGTCAAGGTTATATTCTCGTAGGTCATCAGCCTCGGTCGTAGTTTGTTTGGCTGTGTCTGCGGCTTCTCCTGTGGGCACTCCAGCATCTGAGTCCTCGTCTTCCGACCCATCATCCGCCTTCGGATTTTGCGCGTCCAGAAGATCCTGCTGCGCATCTTCCAGTTGAAGGCGGGCAAGTTTAGAGATGCGGCTCAGTTCTGCTTCGTCGACATTGTATTTGGTGGGAAACTGAGCAGCAGCCCCTCTCCTCACCCACGTGGTAGCAAGTGTCATCGACATTCTGCACCGATCTGTTGTTGCGCGAAGCGACTCGCAATTTCAGTCACATATGTAGGATGGTTGTGTCCTGCAATATTTTTGGCGGCATGCAGAAAAGAGCGGCAGAATCCACGAACTTTTGGGCGGTGAAGTTAGTGTCTTCATGTAAGGCTGGGATGGATACGCAAGGCTTGCAGCTGCAGCTTGGCGAGATCTACAACTCGGCCGCGGAACATCCATTTACATTTTGCTCTTCCAGTTGTAACTTGACTAGACTCGCACTTGTCATCACGAGGCAGATGTGGGCGTGGCTCGAACCGCATGATCTATACTGGAGACGAGTCTCTACCAAAATGCATTCACATCTACATACAAAAGATAACATCGGTACGTGGCAAATCAAGCTGGTCTTGAGTCGCATGATACTTCATTGAGCTGGAGAGATCAACGTCGCAGCAACCCCGCTTTGCTCTACTTTCTTCCATCGCACCATCCGTCGCTCAGCGTCCGATCAAATCAACCCGCAAAAGGGTATTCTGACTTTCTATAGGGTGCGAGGAGATCATGAACGCCCTTGACGAGTGCCACGCCCGCGGCTTCCTTTACAAGGCCATAGGTGGCTGCAACGACATTAAGCGGGAGGTGAACAAATGTTTGTCTGGGGAACGGACGAAGAAAAGCAAGAAAAACCGAGAGACAGCCCTGGAGCGGCGGGCGAGGATTGAATCTGTGTGGGCGAAGTTCGACGAGGGCGACTATTCGGCCCTGGAACAATTCACGAAATCGAAATAAGTCGACGAAGATTCTGACCTGTTGTTCACATTCACGGTTGTTACAAAAGGGCATGCCATGGCGTTTCTTGCTTCTATACTCCAAAAAGTGTGCGCCCTGGTATCGGGCGCAATGGCAGGCACAGGGAAAAGATATTTCTCTCAACTCTTCACACCATATTCCGACTCTCTCTGCTTTATTGCTAGATACATCGACAACGTCCGCTACCTGATCCACGTTCGCGGAGCTTACTTGTTCAGTGGGATCGCAGTCGAGGATGCTTACAGAGCAGAAGATGGCTGCGGTGCTTCCACGCTAATCCGTCCTGGTCTCGCAACAACAGCCTATATAGGCAGAGCGAGGGTTCAGGGGCTTCTAGCGCTAACCTGGCCTCCGTTTCCCCTTCTGTGCGTTCACTTGCGTCCCATTGGAGTTGAACACTCATATCCGCCCAGACGATGGTTTTCCGAAAGGAACCTGGCACTGGTCCGAGAGAGCTTGTAAGAAGTGCGAAAATGGAAGATACGATATTTGATGTAATGTTCGTTCTGGAAGGCGAGATGCTGGCGGTTTGTTTGCACATTTATGGGCTGAGATCGTTTTGCGCCATTTGGGTAGATTTTCCCTGCCCAGTCGAAACTGCTGTAATCTCGGACGACGTTCTTGGTATATACTTGTTTCACATGGAGGACATGACGGACGTGAGTGACAGGCTGGTGGGCGCAGGGGTCTACCTTGCAATTGCCCACACCCACGTGACACTTCCTAAAGTGGTGAGACGATGGGCTCCACTTTGCGGTCTTCGCTCAGTTGTCTTGACGTTTACTCCGTGCGCCGTTGAGAGAGATCTGCCTGCGTCTGCTCTTACCTGGTTGAGCCTTCGGCATATTTGACAAACGTCTGTATATACACGTCAGTAATTCATAACCAGGAGGCCCTATTTAACTAGCATTTTCACACATCCTTCACACCGGAAGCAGTCGAAATCGAGTCCCTCTCCCACCGGTGGCTTCGAGACACATGTCTCAGGCTTACCGTCCCGCAAATGTGGCATTATGACCAGCGGAGAAGCCAGAAAGGAGGAAAACACCGATAGCAATTCTTCTGTGCAACAGCTCTCGGGTCACGAGTCGACTCCTGCCGCAGCTGCTGCCGAACCCGAGCTCGATGACTTTGGCTTGCCCAAAAGACCGGTGAGGGTCAACCCACCCACAAACTCGGACGATAGTAGTGATGATGATCACGATACATTCCATGATGCCGAGGTGCCTGCGGACAAAACGGTCACAAGCGAGGGGGACACCAAAGAGGTTATTGGCGAGTCACAGCAGAAAGCGGAAGAGCATCCAGGATTAGTGGACAAAAGCAACCAACAATCGTGTCCTCCGGAGGCGCCTACAAAATCAGATGGAACCGCAATAGGTACGGAGATGGAGGATAGCAAGAAAGATCAAGCTATTGGAGAAGAACCGAGTCTCGAGACAAAACCCGCAGACAGCATTCCACCGCTAGACACAGCATTGAAGTCCGACACGAAGCAGGACGAACAATCAGCTGATAGTGCAATATCTCCGTCTGCATCTCGAATATCTGGCACAGTCATCCCGAAGCGGAATTCACGATCCAATGCTGCCACAGCCTCCGAATGGTCCCATCAAAGGCAAATTGCGGCTGCGAACCGATCGGATGACGAAGATGAGGAGGAAGAATGGCAGCCAATGCCGGCCATTGATGAGTTTGATATTTTTGATGATAATGGACATCTGGTGGCGAAAGGGCACAGAGAAACCGAGCAAGAGGCAAATCCCTACGCGGGCATTGGCGGTGCTGGGAAAGGTTATACTAGGGTTCAGCTTGACGAAGATGCACAATCAGCTACAAGTCTAGACGAAGACACGAACTACCTTTTTCGAAATGGCCAAAAGGCGGAAGACACGGGAAACAAGGATGACGAGGATGATGATGAGCAGCGGGATGCCCTCAGTCAACTGCAGGCGACCAAAGACCTCCTGACGGAGGGCCAGCGGATAGCCTACGTCGGCGTGGTCCGTTTGACGATCCACAAAATGTTTTCAGCCCTGGGAGACCTGGAAAGACCAAAATCTGTGCGGAAAGAACTGACGAGGTCTCTGGAGAACATGGATATGTGGGGCCAAAAGATGATGGTTCGGTTGTACTCTCATATGGACATCAACCAGGCGGAGCAGATAATGATCGAACAGCTCGCCGAACATGGGGTGCAGCCTTCTGACCTCGTTGCTCCTCTCATGCTGAATGCGAAAGTGAAGAATCCAATGGCCGACGAGACTGCGACCGAGACTTCGAAGCCAGACAGCTCACGAAATAGAGATTCGACGACTTCTGCAGCCTCCTCGAAAGGGGACGCTGTTCCTTTGAAAGAGGTGAAGGAGGGCGAAGATGTCCCTGAAGTCCACGGTCCGGAAGACATGCCTCACACCAAGGAGATCGAGCTCGATTTGCGGTGGACTGTCTTATGTGACTTGTTTCTGGTTCTGATTTCGGACGGTCAGTACGACTCTCGATCGAGACGATTACTTGAACGGGTTGGCTCGACAATGGATATTAGCTGGACACAGATATGTCGATTTGAGAAAAGGGTGATTGATGCCCTGGAAATGCAAGAAGAGGAAGCCAAAGAGAACTGGGATGAATCCGAACACATGGAAAAACGACGTAAACGCGCGCTCAAGAAGAAATACATGGTCATGGGTCTAGCGACTGTCGGTGGCGGGCTTGTCATTGGTCTGTCTGCTGGATTACTTGCACCCTTCATTGGCGCAGGTCTGGCAGCTGGTTTCACGACCATTGGGGTCACCGGTACCGCAGGCTTTCTAGGAGGGGTGGGTGGAGCGGCCTTGATCACTTCTGCTGCCACAGCCGCTGGTGGCACGATTGCGGTTCGAGCTGCAGATCGACGGACAGGCAGTGTCAAGACGTTTGAATATCGACCGCTGCACAACAATAAACGGTTGAACCTTATATTGACGATTTCTGGCTGGATGACTGGCAAAGTTGACGACGTGCGGCTGCCTTACAGCACAGTCGATCCTATCATGGGCGACATCTACTCGTTGCTTTGGGAGCCAGAAATGCTTCAGTCGATGGGTGACACTATCAATATCCTCGCCACTGAAGCTTTGACCCAAACTGTGCAACAAGTTCTTGGGAGCACGATATTAATCACCCTTATGGCATCAATACAGCTGCCAATTGTGCTTTCTAAACTGGCCTACCTCATCGACAATCCCTGGAGTGTGTCCCTCGACCGAGCCACGGCTGCAGGTCTAATCTTGGCCGACTCATTGATCGACAGGCACCTTGGTCAGAGACCAATCACCCTGCTAGGCTTCTCTCTCGGTTCAAGAGTCATCTTCTCCTGTCTGAAGGAGCTGTCGAACCGTGGAGCATACGGCTTAGTCCAGAATGTCTACATGTTCGGGTCGCCTGTCGTTGTCAGCAAAGATGACTACTTGCGAGCTCGGTCTGTTGTATCGGGGAGGTTCTTGAATGGATATGCTTCCAACGACTGGATTCTTGGATACTTGTTTCGGATGACGTCGGGCGGTATCATGCGAGTTGCTGGCCTTGCACCCGTCGAAGGGATTCCAGGAGTGGAGAACATCAACGTGAGCACATGGGTTAAGGGCCACATGGCTTATCGTGCTGCTATGCCACGGCTCCTACGAGAAGTTGGATGGGAAGTCGAGAGCGACGAATTTACCGAGATCGAAGATCCAGATCCCGAAAATCACGCGCAGCGGCAGCGAGAACTCATCATGGAGATCGACGAGGCCAGAAAGAAAGCTGAAGAGAAACCCGACAAGAAACGTTTCGGCATCTTCAAACGAGGGAAACTAGCCGAGAAAAAGGGTTGGGAGAGATACAATGCCAACGACGCCAGCCACAAGCGGAACGCCAGTACCTCTTCTACAGAGCCTGGTGCCAACGGTGATATCAACGTTTTGTTTGACGTCGATGCGATCCGAAGAGAATTAGCGAGCGAAATGATTGAAGTCAGAGAGTTGGACAGCACTCTTCCGCCCATGCAAATAATGTCCGTCAAGGACGGCGAAAAACACGTTGAATACTTGCGCCTCCCACCTGGAATTAAGCCCGAGGAGGTTGCGAGGCTGAATCTCCCGCCACGTCCGGACGAGATTGATGTCTCTTTCGCGCCTGTTCAGCAGCCTACTCCAATTCGCCCTGCACGGTCGTCATCTTTGCGACCCGCGTCTGTAGCAAGCCCTCAACGGTCTCCTCGTATAAGCCCCCAAAGATCTCCTCAACGATCTCCGGACCCGAACAGGCGGTTGTCCTACGCCTATTCAGAGCCAAGGGATCTAGCCAGTCCACCGCCAGCTCCCAGCGCTACACCTTCTGCTTCTCCTAGACCGGAGGCTTACCACGCTCCTACGGACGCCGTTCGACCGGATCTCAAACCGCGTGTAACCGACTCTGCCATACCAAGTTGGGGTCGCCCGTCGACACCATTTGACGATGGAGTTGCTCCGCCAGTACCGAAGCTAGATTTGGAACGCAATGCCTGGGCTGATGACGATGACGAGTTTGGGCATAACCGTGGCGAGATCAGTATGACGTTCGAATAAAGTACCAATAGACTCGACCACGGTACAAAACAAGGAACGGCTTTTATTGCATAGCGAGGCGCCGGATAAAGGGGTTATCTCGAATGGTCTCAAGGTATAGGACCCAAAACAGGGGCACAGTACGCATTATCATTGATGCAGCACCTCGTTGGCTTTTTTGCAGAATGCTCATATATTAATTTCCCTCTGTGATCTCAGATTCAGGATGTCCAATCTGTCTCTGCTACTTTCCATGACGACAGGTGCCCAGAAAAAATTGTCCATTCTTGATGCCCCTGTCGTTTCGGCCGCAATTCCTTTTCAGACGTGGCCTTGGATCCCATTTCCGCACGGGCTGGCATTGAAAGGTCATCCCCGACTGCCTTGGTGATGCACCGAAATCTGTTTCTTTGT